CGGATTTGCGTGATATAATACAAGTAGCCAACGACAAGTGACAAATCGGTTGTGTTTGTGTTTATCTCTTCTTTTTTGAGTGTGCTTATTGATTGATCGCATTTGGATATATCTCTAAAGTGTCGTAACTTTTAAACGTTACAAACAGAACAGAAAAAAACGTAAGTCTTTAAATTATATACAAATTAATACGAGTTACTTGAAGATTCAATATTTCTTGCTTTTTTAAGTTACCTATGTGTTGTCATGGCAACAATAAACAAATTGTTACGTCAAAGTTTTCAAATAGTATAAAAAGTTTCTACATTTTTCTTTATGTTATTATGAAGACAGTTTCATTAAAATTCGTTTACAAATTGAATTTTCAAGTAAATTGACATTTGCATAAACTTGTTTCATATTATGACACTGATGACAGATGAAAAGTTATGTGGACAAAAACAATTGTTTATAAAGAATCATATTAAATGGTAGAAGACAAACAAAAATACTATAAAATTTGTGTTGCTATGGAAACAACAAAGAGATGAACAAGAAATTTCAAAATTTGAATTCAAAATTGTTTACAGTACAAACTTAATGATTAATTAATTTATTAGTACATTTTTTTTTAAAAGTTGTGTTTTTGAAAGTTTGCAAAAGAAGTTAAGAGAATTGTGTGTGGAAAGTAATTGGGTAATTGTAATTGCGAGATGTAATCGGATTAGCTGGAGCGGTGGATAAGTGTAAACTTGGTTGCCTATAACAGAGCGTTGTTACCACTTTAATCCAAACAGATTATGCTTTTGTACCTTTCGTTTGCGAATTCAAAAAAATAAACCATAGAAACAAATAATTGGAAGAGAAATGACAAAAAACTATGGTAATACAGGAACAGGAAGTTTGGAACATACCGTGACAAATATGCAGTTGGCATGTGAAAGGTCCTCTGCATTATTAAACTCTCCTCAATGGTAATTAACGACATTCTCGATACGAATTTTGCAATCTCCATTTGTTTAGTATTTATATTTTAAGAAAAAAAAGTAAAGAAAATCTGTGAAAACATCAATCTTCATTAAGTTTCATTAGAAAATTTATGAAAATTTTACTCAATTATGAAAGGTTAAGATTACTAGATTCACAATTTCCCATAGTTTTTCCTCATTTTGAGATTGAAAATTGGACAGTTAAGTGATTTTAGCAAAAGATCTTTATGTTTATTCCGTTGCGAAAAAAAAGTTGTACACGCTTTTACCATCCGTGTTTTTTTTTTCTCTCTCTCTTTCGGCCCTTCTTGCATCGATCATGCAAGTCAGATTGGGTGCGTGCAGGGTAATAACCATAAAAACTGGCGACCTTTCTTCCTGCTTACCTGCATACGCCGCGAGTTGTCTCTTCAAGGAAGAAAAGAAAAGAGGCCAGAAAGTAACCAGAAATTATCATAATTCTACCTGTCGCATTTCAACGTACGCATCCGCATCACGTACGTATCTCTCTGTCTCTTTCGCCTCTTTTGTTTTGCCAAGGACACTTTTACGATTACGAGCGCGGTCATCGTAGGAGGCTCCTTCCGCCTCGACCGCCCATTTTTTTTTTCGAGGGGATTCCACGTGGTTCCTAAAAGGGATCCCGTTATGTAAACAAACGCAGGTCGGCAGGAAAAGGAAGGGTTGATGTTTTGACAATTGGCTGCGAGATTTAAGGACGATAAGCGAGTTAATTGAAGAACAACTTTCTAGTCTCTTGCATCTCAGCAGATTGCAAAAGGATCGACAATGTAAACAATCTTTTACAATCCTTGCAAAATTAGCCTTAATAACGTAACAATATAAATAGTTTGTAAAATTTGTTATAAGCAAAATTTAAGCTTAAGCTTAATCAATTTAGATTACGATTGGAATCACGTTTCTTTTTGGAGATTAAGGAAATTATAATAATAAAACGGATAAAAGGAAAGTGAATAAATAATATTAAAAAAAAAACAACATTGATCGATATGTATTTGGCATGAGCGTCGCGACGCCAATTTCATTTGTGTTTATTATTTCATTTTCTACATCGTTTCGTCCGTTTTTCTTCGTATTATTGTGACCCAAGAAGTTGACGTGTCCAGGAGTACACACGTACGGATTAATCCTTGCATTTGTAATTGCACGAAAGCGAAATAAAATAGGAAAGAAAGAGAAAGATTAATGAGTGTGTATGTAGTGAAACAGCAGTTCGGACAAGAATTAATAACTGCAGATTAATTACGGTCGACTTTTTCATCGTTCTGGACAATCTATAAAGTTCGAGCATTCGCTATCAACTCTACAGTTTATAATTATAAAACAGCGAATTCTTATATAATCACTAAAATTGGTTACATAAACAACATTCCGGTGGTTAAACGTCAATTTATAAGTTTTTGACAAGCTGTCATCCAATAATGACGTCAATTGATAAGTCGTAATAGACAGCGAACTGTCAAAGTGACAGGACTAATTTTGTAATGCAACTGTCAAAATAACAAATATCTATTGAATTGTTAAACGCTACCAAGTTTACATTATTTACGTAATAATCCGTCAATACTTATATAAGGACTAAATCGATAAAATTTAATTGATAAATCGTAAACAGTCAAAGTGATACTAAGATTGAAGGTTTGTTCTTTGTTTTGCATGTAACTAATTTGCTGCTTTCAGAATTTCTGATTTTTCTACATGTTGTTGATGTTGTTCTTGAGTGAGTTTCAAAGGGAACTCGGCAATTTAAGTGTCTCAGGGAAAAAGAATCGGAACAAAGAATGCTAAAGCCGTGTACGTGTGTGTGTGTTAACGTAAATATAATTGCACGTCTAGCCAGTAATTATTTGGGTTTGAAAAGAAGAGTGGAATCCCTGGGGGCTAGTGTCTAAGGGAAGAGGAATGACTTTGGTGGTGACTACCTGCTCCACCCACTATCACCCATGAAATTAGGGTTGATAACGCCAAGTGAGTGAAGTGAAGGAAAGGAAAGCAAAACGAATCTGAACGGAAATCTTTTGTAGAGATTGCAATTGCAGATACGATTAGATGTGTGCATGACGAGACGGACGGAGCAGTAAAAACCGGAGATTAATTACATTCTTTTTTTTCGTTGATAATTATCTTGAAGACATAAACGAAATATACGCCCGGAAGGAACGTGATTTGAAATGAAATTTATATGGAAACACAATTTGTAATATGCGTTTCTTTGTTTTGATTACCTGAAACAACTTGATTTGTTTGTTTTTACATCATTTTCAAATTAATTTAACTGAACATAATCTCTCAAATTTGAAGACAAAAACAATCAATTGTCAATCAACTTATGATATAACTTAAGACACATTTGATCTCGTTTAATCTCATTATTACAGTCATGTAATTAAAACAATATATCCTTATAGAAAAGAAGTTATATGGAAAGTTATTATAGGCAACACACTTTTCAGAATATCTGAACATTTTACTTATTTGACCAGATTTTGAAATTAATTTAACTGAACATAATCTCTCAAATTTGAAGACAAAAACAATCAATTGTCAATCAACTTATGATATAACTTAAGACACAATTGATCTCGTTTAATCTCATTATTACAGTTATGTAATTAATACAATATATCCTTATAGAAAAGAAGTGATATGGAAAGTTATTATAGGCAACACACTTTTCAGAAAATCCGATCATTTTTGTTTTTTGACCTTATTTAAGTACAAATTAGTATTTGTTTTACAAATATCAAATGTATGTTAATTTTATTATTTATATAATTATAATAATGATATAATAACAAATGAAAGAAAAGTTGCCTACACTCATCAAATATTTAAAAAGTTTTCGTATTAATTTATAAAATTTGGCTTTTCAAGAAATAGTAGTTGCAATTAAAATTGACTGAAAACTACGTATATGCACTGTATTATTAAAATTCAAAAATTGTTTTGCATGACAAATAGTTGAGTATTAAAAAGTTAATTAAAAACTCTCTCGATTGTTTTTCTTGAGGGTCTCTCGTCTACGAAGAGACTCGCACAAAATGCAAATAACTTATCGATTCAATCGCCCCGTATAATAATAATAATACATCGTGACCCATTTAACGTTGCTGCTTCGAATTGCATCGTTTGCGATTTTCGCTTTTTAATTCCAATCAAAATATGATTGTTGAGAGTCATTGGACTATTAGAAGAAGAAAAAAAGAAGGTTAAGGGTTTTACCCCCGAAAAGCTTGCATGAGATCGCAGTAGTCACGAAATCCCTTCTTTTTCATACGACCCCTAAAGTTTTGTTTCTCGTCGTGTTCTTCGTTTTTTTATATACACACACACATTCTGCGTTTTTTTAATATATTTCATCGTCTTTCTTTATTTCTTTGGTTGTGGAAACATGCGAAGCTTGCGTGCGTGTCTCACATACAAGACTTTCTAATGAACCCCCGCCGATAATTAACAGCGACGGCGGCGCGTTTTTACGCCCGACCACCCTCCACCGCGCCCCATCCGAAAAATAATAACAATGCGAGAACGAGGCTTTCGGGACAAAAGGGAAGTTTCGTAAATTCGTAGCATACCGGCAGCAGCAGCAGAAGCAGCAACCCTCTTTCTCTACAACCACCCCCTTCGCGCACCTCCCTGCATCTCTCACCGTACAATTAAAGTTTCATGCACAGACAATGGTTTTTCGGGTTGGAAAAAGAGAGCGAATCTCCGCATAATTACGTTCTTCTTATCAAAGAAATTGACTCGAAAACATAAGAATATTTTCCATAATGGAATATGGAACGCTTCAACTTTTTCTTTAACCACCCCCCAACTTCAAAAACAATGCCGCTTTACAATTTAATAGAATGAAGACGAGCGCACGTACAAAATTTTATTTGAATGTTTATTGTATCAAATAGTCATGACGTTACTAGATGGCGCTACAGTTATATGATTATGAATTATGCAACTTTATGTGCAACGTGTCAAAAGTCATCAATGTTGATGTTGTTGTTGTTGTTTCAGAACTTCGAAATTGGGAACGAGCGATGCTGCTAGATTAACTGACGACGACGAAAGTTGCCGAAGAGGAGAGAAAAGACGTTAAGCGAAACAATGTCCCAATCACATTACTCTCTGCGATGGAACAACCATCAGAGCCACATCCTATCCGCCTTCGAGTCGCTTCTTCAAGCGGAAACACTGGTGGACGTGACGCTGGTGTGTGCGGAAACTTCTGTGCGCGCCCACAAAGTAGTCTTGAGCGCGTGTTCACCGTTCTTCCAAAGGATATTCTCTGAAAATCCGTGCAAGCACCCGGTGATCGTGCTCAAGGACTTCAGCGGTTGGGAAGTGCAGGCGATAGTCGACTTCATGTACAAAGGTGAAATCAGTGTGATACAGGATCAGCTGCAGAGCTTGATCAAGGCTGCTGAGAGCCTCCAGGTGCGAGGACTCGCCAATCAGGACCAGTTCGGCATCGTCGACAAGGAGTCCAGTCCGATCACGAATCAAACGCCGACGCCGTCGACGTCACCGAACGACTTCGACAGAGGATTCTTTCCCAACCTCCACAGATTCACGGCGCCCGGCATCACGATGCGAACACCAAACGCAGCGGAACGTTCGCCGCCGTTCTCGCCAGTTCCCGCCGTCTCCGGGTACGACTTGCCGCCCCCGGCGAAGCTGCCACACATGACCATCAATTTCCCAGAAGCTCTGGTTACAAGAGCCGAATCGCCGCAGCCGCGTCGGAAACAGGCAAGACCGCGTCGCAGGTCCGGCGAGTTGACCGCCGGTGCTCAAGACCTCACCACCACCTCGGCCCATCCCAGCCAAAACCAACATCACCACCACCACAACAACAACAATCTGATCACGTCCTCGAACATCGTCAGCCCGACCACGACCATCCTCAAGCCACAGCTGCAGCCTGTGCAACCGCACGAGATCGAAGAAACTGCCGAGAATCTGTGCATGAAGAAACAGCCCAGCTCCAAGGAGGACCGCAAGAAGGACGACGACAGGATCAAGATGCTGACACCGGATCCTTCCGCCAGCCCCGAGCTCGACCTCAGCATGCATCACCACAAGGATTTTGCACCGTCGCCGCCCCTACATCTGCCCGCCGTCCTCAACCTCAAGCACGAACTGGACAACCACTCGCCGTTGCCCTTCCCACCGATGCCCTCCGTCTCAGCCCTTGCAATGACACCTCCACACAGCAAATGTAAGTACACACACACACACTACAATTTGTAACATTATTGTATTTATATAATCGATTATGGATTTTCAGTTTTCGGGCTAGATTCACCTCTACTGTTCCCGCCCGGTATGGATGGCTGCAGGAATCCCCTGCTGGATATGACAGATCCTAGATCGCTTCCTGACCCGCAGATTTTCACTAAAAAGAAGAGTGAGTAGTTTGTAATTGTACTTAAACTAAGAGCGTTTACTAATGGCTGATTGTTATTCGCAGTGGGAAGACCAAAGGGTCAACATTCTGCCCCAAGAGGAGGTCCACCCAGATCTTGGACAAACGGCGAACTGACGGAGGCTCTACAGCACGTGTGGAACAAGAAGATGACAACGAGTCAGGCTTCGAGGATCTTCGGCATCCCGTACAACTCGCTGCTGATGTACGTGCGCGGCAAATACGGAAAGAGTTTGAAATTGGAGCAGCTGAGGAAGGACTGCATCGCCGGTCCCGGCATGGATCTGATGAACATCGGAGGTTCCGGTTCTGCAGGAAACAACAATAACAACAAAATATCCGACAGAGACGACGGGACGGGGACGCAACCGAACACGAGACCCCCGAGCACCGAGGAACCTCCGCAACCGCCGATCTTCAATCCGTTCGGGCCGAACTTCTATCCGGACTTCGGCACCGGCTTCCCCATCCCCGTCAGCATGATCCACCTGCTGCCGCAGAGCGAGAAGAACCGCGACAGCTACGGCCCCCCGCCAATGGACGAGGACATCGGGAAAAATGATGGTAGGGTTAAGGACGAGCCGCAGGATATGTTCCTTCCTTTAGACAGGCGCGAGCTCGTTCACCAGAACGGGCAGGACTAGGCCAGGTGGTGGCACTCCTCTGACCAAATCATATTCTAGCAATCACTGCAAAGAAAGAAAACGTCTATGAGGCAGAGAGCACGTGTCAAACGTCCACTTAAAGCAAATCGTCTAAAACAGCAACAACAACAACATCAAGGAAAAACGTTTTCTTTTCCGTAACTTAATACGTTAGGTGCAATATTAGTGCATAGACAAATTTGTACATTATTATATATTATACAAATAAGCAAAAAACGAGGGTGGATGCATTTCCCATCAGGAAGTCGTTCTATGCATGCAGCATCCCCCATTTCGATTTAAATGATAATACCTGAATTCAAAAAGTATAACAGGTAAAAAAAAAAATATTTATAAAGAATAATATATATATACGTGCTTCCGATTTGTAAGTTTCCGTTCAATACGTTTTATGTTTATTCAAATTTTATATATATATATTAATATTATTTTTCGTGACTTTAAGTTCATTTTACTTTATTTAGAAGAAAAAAAAACAATAATAATTACGTAACGAAAGTCGTTAGCGCGATCTGTAAATAGGAAAGTCGTCGTCGCGTTTCGGACTTTCCTCAAATTAATATAATAATAATAATTTTAATACTTATAATAATAATAATAATAAACAAACAAAAAATATATATATAATGAATAAATCATATAAGACTGATAATTTTCATATTGCCAACGTTCCAACGCTAATTTTCTCTGGCCACTTAAAGATGAATATGTAGAAGATGATGAAGAAGAAGAATATGTTGAAGACGCTAGAAAACGAAGAAATAACATTTATTTTATTAACGCTGATGAACGATATTGCGAAATATTACCGACGATTAGATGAAATGGAAAAAATAGTAATATTATTATTATTAATTAATGAATTAATTAATAATATGAACAAAACCCACATATTTATATATTATACAGTTCCTGATGACAAAATATTTTTTAGTGACAGATTATATACAGATTTTTTACCAAATATTTACTATATTGAATGGAAAGCAAATAATAATTGAAACGAGAAACAGAAACTACTATATACAACCAAACATGCACACGCAAACAAAGATGGTTTTTTGTTATGAACGCCAGGGGGCGCCGAGCCCCCGCCTCCGCGATTTTTTTCCTATCCAATGAACTTTAACACATACACAACCCCCCGCCCCCCAATACATACACATTCAAACTGCGATATTAGCGTTTACAGTTATTAACGAAAACAGACTATTTTAAAAACACGGTTTTGTACAGTTCAGATGATATATATACATACATTTGTATCTTAAATAATGCAAGAATAATACATAAATAAATACAAACCTAACGATAAAATATATTTTTCAATTACTACTACAACTACTACTATTAACTAACTAATAATAATTATTAACTAAATACATAAATAATAGTGAAGAAGAAGAAAAACAAACGAAGCCCAGGATTGATTTTGTTTTTACTATACACGATATTTTTGTAACGATATTCAAATCAGTTTTCATCTGCATTTTCTCAGTTTCTACTAGTTTTTTTTTTGTAAGGAAGCTGTTTTAGGGTCTCGATTGTTTTATCGAGAGGCGTGGTCTCTTTCATTTTGTATTAAAAGGGGCGTGTCTTGTGGGAACGCCCATCAACAAACAACAATATAAACATTTGGCAACTTGATTCTAAGTGGAGGAAAATTAGAGAGCGATATTGAAGAAAAAATATATATATATTAAATTTAAATTGAAGAAGAAAAAAAAAACATTTTCTACTTGTATATTCATTAAGGCCTTTAGGTAAAAGAAGTAATAATAATTAGATGGAAACATAATTTGTACAAAATTAAAATATATATGTATATGGAAGGAAGTCATTTGAATCGGTGTTGATCTTAAGTGTTTGTATACAGAAATTGGAATCTCGTAGAAAGGTTAATTGTATAAAAAAAATATAAATTTAATGAACAAAAAAAAATCGTAATGTTTAGGTCTCTAGTATACGGTCAACAATGTACAAATCGAAGCAAAATTTCTCGAATCATCATCTGCCAGGTTATTTGATATAAACAGATTGTACTTTCTTTCCGTTTCGAGGACGTGTCGGATAGCTAAAATTTATATGGAAATATATAATATATATGGGAAAAGACGATGAAGAGGATGACGAAGACAAAGCACACACAATTTGCAGGGTATATATATTAAAGGGTGCGAGTATTTAAACTTGCATTACTCGAATCAATAATTAAAAAAAACAAAAAAAAAAACACAAAATTGCTGACACATCATTAGCGTATGTAAAGAAGAAGACAAAAACAAATGAATAAAGGAATCTCTCTTCTCTCTATCTATCTAACTCTAAAACAAAACAAAACAAACAAAAATAATTATATAAATATATATACGAAATTACACGTAACAGGAGATAAAAATAAAAAACGGTAGTCATTTTTCTTTGGTTCAGTGTGAAAGGAAATTTTATTCTTTTTTTTTTTCGTTCACGTATCGGCCCAGAACAGAAAGAAATCTGAATTAGGAAAGGCTTCCAACTCGAAATTTGAAAAGAAGAATGTGTACTTGTAATAATAAATTTAACAAGAAAATGAAAAACAGAAAAAAAAATAATAATGTAAGATGTAAAAATGGAATCATACGAAATATGTGTGCAACGTATAATTTAATTTACTCTTTTTTGTGTTTTCCCCAATTCGCCTCCGAGCCAATGGGCAATTTTTTATTTGTGATGGGCGGAGTCAAAATGAAGATGCAATTAATAACAATTCGATTATTTAGCAACGAAGGCGTGGTTTGATTATAGACCACGCCCATTAATGCAATTTTGTTTAGTGTTTCCTTAGTTACCGATTAATATTTTTTATTCAAGGGGGCGTGTTTACGTCCATTGTACGCAAATTAATAGAGAATGTCAAGTCAAACAATAATCACGCCCACGAATTAACAAAATACGCCTCCGAATTAACAAATCACGCCCCCCAAATTTAAAGCTCCGCCCAGCGCGAATTTCATTGGTCCGGAGGCGCGTCCGGGATGTTATTGAACATGTGATAATAGTTGCACAGTATATTTTTGAGCGACTGTGAAAGTTGTTAGATTTAGATGATATATAAATAAATCTCTATATATATATATAAATGAAATAAACAAAAAAGGTATATAAATATGATAATATAAAAATATATTTAGTAAGTGAGACTTTTCATGTTACCGATTACTATTATTATTATTTTCTCTTCGTTTTAATTAAAAACTGTTTTCCCCCCACAATAATTATGATTCATCCGGATCTCTAGTTTTCTATTGGCTTCTATTTAAGTTCGCGCGCTTTTTCCCCCAAGTTCCTTATTTTCGTTAAGCACTATAACCTGTACGTTATACACTAATTATTAATTACTATATATTTTAATAAAAGAAAAAACTTATTATTTCACACAACTTTGTTTTCTGTTTAATCAAGTATGCAATAATAAACTAATAGTTACGAGACAAAAAAAAAATAAACACAAATAAATAAACGAAATGGTGCTGGATATTATTTTTAAGTTGTACATAAAACACACAAATACAATACATGACAAGCAGAACACAGACATTCCTATCAAAGTATTATTAGTTGATAAGTTTTAATTAAAACCTTTTGTTTGTTTTTTTCTTTGATTTTACATAAGTTCCTCTATTTTTAATTTTTTTTAAATTATTGGTTAAATATATTATATAATTATTACATTTTTTTTCGTTGTTTCTTTTAGTGCACATAGTTAGCAATAGTTAAGTTTAATCTAAACGCAGGAAGAAGAAAAAACGTTAATTTTTTTGGTGAAACTTGGACGAAAAACGCACTTTTTTTAATTGAAAAACCTATTATAAGTATTATGATTTATGCGAGAGAAAAAGTGGAAATAAAATAAATAAATAAGAAATCCATATCTGACAATATTGATAATCTGAGAAGTTATTGGAAAATGAAGACGGATTCAGGGTAAATAAAATATAAACACAAATCATGTACCAAATACTCAAAGGATTAAAGAAAGCAAAAGCAAGCATATAGGAAAGTTCTGGAAAATCTCAAAATTTCTTTCTTCAAATCAATCAATTTCGTGTTATCGTTTCCATTTCCATGGCTAGTGCAATAAGAGTGTGTAAATTATTTGGGCATTATGTAAAAAAAAAACAATTGTGGACAAAACAAAACAAAAAAACAAAAATTGTGGACAAAAAAAAAACTTTTTGTTTTATTAATGTAAAAATTAGGACTTCGAAATTTAAAAAAAAACGTATTTTTTTTTGTCCGGAAAATTCCGGTTTTTTTTTGATATATATAATATGTATAGAAATTTCTTTTTTTTTGTGAAAAGACGATCGATTCGGTCGATCGATGAGGAACGTAACCCTGGCATTGTAATATATTATTGTAAAGACGAAAAACAAAGAAAAAAATTATTTGAATACGTGTGTAAAAAAAAAAGTAATTAATAATTTTTTGATGAAGAAAATTGAAATTAAGGTAATTGTATTATGATTCTTTTGTAAATGGTGCAATCTCTGTAATTTATATATATTGTTTGTTATTGAAGTGGAAGGGAGGACGGAAATTGTTAAAAAATCGATTTTCGTCCTCTTGTTTCCTTAATTTAGGTAATAATTAAGACGAAATTTGTATAAAGATGATTGATTTTTATGTTTTGTTTTTTGGGAAATTTGTACAGGCGGCGTCTCGTGTTTGTTCTCTCTTAATTGATTTGTTTTCTATTATTATTGTTGGATTTCCTCCTTTCTCGTCTGGATTTAGTAAATAAATAAAAAAACAATACAAAAAGGACGAAGTGTGTACACTACAGGGTAATGCGAAGCTAAACAATACAATGATGATATTGATGACTCTATTTTTCATTTCTTATTGCGGATGATTCGAGTTCTTCGCCTTTGTTTTTGGACAACAAAATTTGTCTGGAGGAAATTTCAAGATTTTTTTATATAATTTTTTCGAGGACAACAAGATGAAAATTTGTATTATATTGAAATCGTGTGAATGGGATGAATGGGAGAATTTAAAAGAAATGAAAAACGAAAAACAAACAAAAAAAAACATTGTAGGTACATTATACAAAAACAAAACAAACAAAAAAAAAAGATAAATATGGAAGAAATCAATTGAATAGATATTTGATATATATAGGTAGGCATAGTTTTTGATGATGTTGAAATAAAATTAAATAAAGCTTCGTGAAGAACTACAAAAAAAAATTAATATATGAATACTTTTTGACTTTTTCTTTCTCTTTCCCTCGAATTCCTATCCTTGTTCATTCTTATTTTCAGAATTTGGATAAAATTTTTGAAATTTACAAAAATTATGAAGATTTTATGAAAAAATATCTTCAGAATTTTAAAATTAGTTGAAATTGAAATCACCATGTTCGTATCGTATTTTATGTAATTCATTTAAGTAAGGCTGTGTTTTGGAATTTGATCATTGGGTGGCCTACATAACTCATCCGCTTATAGGATTTGGAATTGTACCAAAGGTGAGGAGGTTTCGAATGCGTCCAATTCGAACAGGGGCGGATTCAGGTATGGTAACAGTCTTGGACTCAAGAAAGTAATAACACGCTATGTGTATTAAGAATTTAATTTTAATCCAATAGATAAACCGAACATAAGATGGAAAATCTATTGGATTAAAACGAGATCCGCGTATGCATTTTTCTGTATTAAAAACAGGTGCAACCTCGTGAAGGTAAATGCGAAACGGTCTTGCATCAATCCAGAGGCTGTGTTTTGCGCTTGGATTGATACCTGGATATCATCTTCATACGAAGATGATATACCTTTAGCACCTGGACATGCGGCCACGTGGAAGCCGCTGCTCCCATTCACAGCAAATGAGAGCAAACGCGCGACCGCACACCCGGGAGGAATCAAAAAGAAAATAGGGAAAGTATAGGATAGAAGGAAATGCTATGATCTAGGTACCTGAAACAGAACACAAACAAATGACATACACCCGACACAAAACATGATCGAAATATAAGTTTACATAATCTATAAGATCGTATTGAAAAATACGATACACATTTATAATTACAATAAAAATAAAATTGCATTGCACATTGATCATCATTATAATATTTTACAGGAGAGGAATAAATAGAACGTCCAGTTTCTCTCATATTTTATTTTTTTTTTAATTTTATAATTCTTTTCTTTTATATATTTTTTTTATCATTCTTATTAATCCATATTTTATTTATTATTTTTTTAAATATTTTTTTTTTGTATGTATCTATTTGTATATACATAATATTTTTATTAATCAAT